TTCCAACTTCGCGTGTGCACACCAAATAGCAGAAAGTTTTCTTTGGGTTACTGCTGATTATCATAAGAGTACATACAAATTTTAAGTCACTATAATTTTTCAAAAAACCCAATCATTCGTTTGCAAATGCACTCGTCAACAATGAATGAAAGGAAGAGTATGAATAAACGCAGGCTAAGAATAAAAATCGATGAAAATGAATATCATAAAAGGCAATAAACTCGTCTACTGGTCGGCTGCCTTGTTCGGTTGGACGAAAACGAATGTCAGGCCCGAGACAAAGGAAGGAGCGCGAGTAAAGAAGAAATAGGAGAGAAGGTAGATCGATCGCGGCGTGGAGGAGCGAATATGCGAGGCGAGGGCCAGATGAGAGAGTGTATCTATACAAAATGTCGGTGGACACGGGTATAACAAGATGTTAAGCAGTCAGTCGCGGCGGCGGTTTTTCGGGAGGTTCCTTTCGGGCGGGCTGTAAAAAAATTGGGACACGCGGTCGTCGACGGGGAGACGAAGGGAAGATGAAGAAGAAAAGAAGGTGGCCGCGGTGTACGTATAGCAGGAAGGCGCGCGGACCAGTTGATGGGGAGAAGCTTTTAGCCCGGCTAGATGGTGCCGAGATAACGGCGCGCCGCGGCGAAGTGCAGAGTGCGCCGCTGCTATGCCACTCGTCCCACACTCTCCTCGCGTACCCGGATTTCTCTGTGTGTATCTGTGCGAGTACGGAAGAACCGGGATAGAGAGAGGCGCGCTATATTGCTCCACTTTGAGCGCGGTTTGGCACCGCGTCTGTTAGAATTTTGACAATAACGCGCTACCGCTGGCTCAGCTGCGCCTGACCTCGGAAGCTTCGACCATGAATCTCGCCGCCAACCTGACTAATTCGATTACGCTTCCCTGAAAGTTCCGATGACGAGTGGATCCGCACCGTGTAAAATTCAAGATGCCCATAATACTTGAAGTATTCAATTAAAACGAGAAATACGTATAGAAAATAGTTATGGCAAATATTTTGTCACGCTGGATTTTCGCGTTGCACATTTCTAAGAAAGCAGATAAGCAGATCTGTAGCTTCGAACCATAGAACCCTGGCTTAAGCTGCTTACGCAGTTCTAATCCGTTCATTTGCTCTAATTACTTTCTTAGAACAAGCTAGTAGTATTGTACTTACGCGTTCGAACGGAAACTAGAGCGAACCGAAGATTCGTTGGAGAGATGTGGACATCTTTCCTCGGTCCCGGAAACGAGGATCACCACGGTCGGAAAAATGATAGATAAATCAGTACTAATGAGGGATGGCCGTCATTCCCAGGTAGCCCAGTAAATTCCAAAAGGTTTACAGCCTTAGCCGCAATGTTTTGATCTCGACGATCTACCGTGTCCACCCTGGCGCGAATCTTTCATCGGTGCAGAAAGCGACCGTCAAATGAACGAGAACGAATATTTGCAGTGTTAATAATGTACCCAGTGACAAATGACGGTAATCTTTGAGTAAATTTAATAATCATCGGAACGTGCAATATATCCACATGAATATATTTAGTTCCACCATCGTTCATAGCTGTTTCCTACTCATTTGGATTATTTGATTGATCGATCGTGTTCCATATGCTCTCTCTTTCTCTGTAAAATCGTAAATATTTGCTCGCAACAACGGTGCGTCGCCAATGTTTTGAGTCGAACTCCCAATTTTCCCCGGCGTGTGTCTTTTAGCTTTTCATTCATTGCGGGACTACATTGTAACTTTCCAGAATTCAAAGCTAAATTTATAAAACCTATTATTCGTTCTGTTCGCATTGATACTTTTGACTCTTCATCGTAAAGTCCCACAGTTTAAAGACTCCTCTTGCTAATCATCCCTGTTGCATTATCACAACCCGAGGAGTCCATTTCCGTGTAACCACAGCAAAAACCATGGAACCTGGGAAAGGATCCGTGACCTTGTTTACGATTGACATTCGCCGTTCCCAAAGTCCTTTTCCCGTAGCCAACAGGATTCGGCTACCTGAACCTCCGGGGAATAGGATATGCGTCATAAAGCGTGGCGCCAGGCGCAACGATGCGCACTAAATATTGCACACCGTAGTGCTAACCAGGCACTTACTCATCTCCGGCCTCGTTCCGACTTTTCCCTGGCCGCAATTCTCATTGCTATAAACAATGAGCCTGATAGTCGATCGTTCGACGCTTTTTTTCTTCTCATCCCTGGACCCCCGCGTTGTCGTAAATCTGAAAAATACACAAAACTCGACCGTAAAACGTGGCTAATGAGATAGACTTTCAGGGATTTCTACGGTCGTGCAAATAAAGTAAAAGGAGCGTTTCTCTGTTGGGAAAACAGACCGGAGTCTCTTCGGTTTCCTATGCACTTGTAGTAAAATTTAATGATCGCCGAAGAGAAGGTAAAAACTGGATAAAGAAATTAAGATCGGTTTCAAGGTAAAATCCAATTTAACGTTACAACGGTACACGGTTTGAAACCGACTCGTCCGTTGTGTGAATTAACAAATGAATCCGGGGAAATAAAAGTTTCGCGGCGAACGCGAGAAGTAGCAGCGTGAGGGTGATAAGCAAAGCAAAGCAAAAAAAGAAAAAAACGTCGCCCGAAAAGCGTTGTCGGGAAAGAAGGCGAGCGAGTAGACAGGCGGGCACACAAAACTTACGAAGAGACGGATTAAGGCTTTCTTCCGCGCTGAGGCGCCCGGAGCAACCGATTGACCTCCATATTCACCGACTGGCTGAACCGGGAGCCGCTCTGAGCCGCTTAAGTAGGTAGGATTTGGTTTCCTACGGGCGACGAGTGCCTCGGCGTGCTCTTTTACGCGGCCAGAAGGCGCCACCCCGGTGTTTTTTCCTGTTTTCTCGCGCGGGCATAATCGCTTGCTAGCTGCCCCGTCGACTTCAACGCTTGCACACGCGACTTCCCTCTTGTGACAGATTTCACCAACCGAAAGTGCCTGTTTACGATTCTTTTTAAAAAAAAAATTATTTACATCCTTTGATAATTCCTTGTCTTTCTACACGATTTTCTTTTTATATCATCGATAAACGATAAATATATTTCTTTGTAAATTCGATTAAATGACGGACGTTTAACTACGTGGATGTCATCAACTGGGATTTGACGCGAAGCTTCGATCAAAAAGACAGTGACAATTTTAAGCAAACACGTTTTTCGGTATTTCATCGACGGAAACGCCTGTGCCTTCGAACGTTTCGGAGTTCATACGTAAGCAAGTAGGGACCGATGAATTATTACGCAGGGTTCACATGGCTTCGACACTCGAACCAGGCTTCGAAGGAAAGAGAGGAGCAGAGAGCAAAGGGAGCATCTGCCGGGGATGCGTTCGCCGCTGATAGCTTTGTCGGTTTCTCGCTCGTACGCGCTACGAGCCGTTTTAAGAGGCCTCCTCTCCTCTTCGTTCTCCATCGGCGTCGCTGACACTTCACAAAGGAGCATCATACATACGTACGAGTCGGAACAGAGCTGTGAGAAAACGGCTGATCGAATTCTGATGGTAAAAATCTGCCAGCTAATCAAATTCACGATCAGAGAAATATACGAAACACTTAAGACGAACGATGGAGTATGAAGAATTGATATACCAATACGGTGTGCAACGTGAAACAAAGTCGATAGCGATAAAATACTTTTTTTTTTATTATTATCTCTGCGAGAGGAGTGCGTGTCTGTAAACTGAAGCGTGCCCGCGGCGATACGTCGTCGGACTTCTTTTCAAAGCGAATTTCACGAGAGAAGCGTGACGGTTCTCGAGCGCACGCAGCTCACCGTGACATTGGTCCAGGATTAGCGTTCCGACCGATTGGGAACGCGTTTTCTGCTCGCGTATAATCTGCGATCGCGGGAGCCCGTTCTCTTCGTGTTTGTCACTCGTGATTTACTCTTTTCCCTCACGAGATCACTGACCTTGTATTTACACAAAACAATTACCGAACTCTTCTTCGTTCAGTAATAATATAACATAAATGATTGTTATTAATAAATGTGATAAAAAATTTACATCCCTGATGCATACAAGTGCAGATTTTTATACAAAATAAGAAACTTGCGTTGTTTCCTTTAGACGCTGTGGGAGAAACGAGAATATTAAATCACACTGTGAAAAACGTTTGGCATAATTTACAATTTATTATGACATCAAGGATATCCTTTCTAAAATAGATAGGAAATTGTGTATCACTGAATCGCTGAACAAATCGCTGTCCTATCTGTAAATTTTTTATCCACGTAAGTCCTACGTACTCTATGATAAATGGTCCCTCGTGTCTCTCCAACAAACTCCCTTAGAGTTGGAGAACAACAATGTCTATGTATACATACACTGTTCTATCCTACTTATACTTGCAAGTTTCACAACGTTCTGCGAGTGTCTGGAAGCCGAAGGAGCGCGAGATATTTAGACTGCGTCGCAATGAACGCGGCACTGGAGGGAAAAAAGTGCGAGAGTAGCCGACAATGACAGGATTGAATGCCTCGAGAATCCGTTCACGGTCGAATGTCCCGGTGCAATGTGGATTAGCTGATGCGCGTGAACCACCAGAGATCGTCCTTTCTCATGGGGCGAATCACGCTTGGCCACTTTCCCGGCTGCTCTTTTTAGCGTAAGCGTCTTCCGTCCCAAAAACTATTTCTACCTCAATACTCCACTGATCCATAGGAGTTTTTAGTACGTCAGAAAACGTACTACCATTGTGTGTGTGTAAATATGTTTTTTATTAGATATTTAAAAAGTTATTTAATAGGATTTGAGTAAATTGGAACTAACATAAGAATCAGGTAAGAAATCGGTTCAGTGTCTCAGTAGAATGATTGCAGAAATCATTGTGAGGCAAGTTTTGTGACTAAAACAATGAATTACGAGTTCAGAGCAGGAATTGGAAACAGCAACGTGTTCATTATGCATTATTTCATTATTGATAATTTATTAATGTGACGCTAGAAGCAGCCGCAGAATGTAATAAAGAACGAGTCAATGTTTAATACCACAGTAATTATTGATATTTATTCTGCATTGACTTACTTGATTACATTGTCCAAGGTTGTATTTGAAAATTGAGGATGAACGAAAAATTCATTAATTAAAGAGATGCCTTTAAGGTTCCTCTTTGCCACGATTTCTAATCGCAATACAATTTTTTGTCTATAAATTGGATCAGTAGTTTTAATGAAGTAAAATATAAATTTAAGTATAGGTATCTACTTAATCGAGTAATCGTACACGTTATTGAATTATAATTCGATTTCGTCGACTCTGTAACTCGATTCGGTCTCACATTTTACAGCCATTCGGCGAACGTACCGGCCACGCCGGGGTGGCTCAATATTTAATGCGTCCACGTCTGTCGTCGGACTTTAGAACTTGTTACCCAGCTATTTACTCAATCCCGGACTTAAAAAAGGAAATGGAAAAAATGAAAGTCGCGACTTTTCGAGTTTCGATGTTTATTCTGAGCTCGTGCGTCTCCGATTTGGTACGTGTAAAGCGGTTATTTTTGTGAAAAACGTTCGATCCAGTTTCGTTCGGTCAATTTGTTTGTTTTGCCTCGACGTCGTTTAAATTGATCGACTGATTGCCGCTAAATCGGTTTAAGCGATTAGCCAGAACGGCCGTGCAACAGTCTGCGGAATGTTTAGTTTTCAGAAACACATTGTCATTCAGAACAACGGAAATTTGGTTTTAGAAGCCTATTGCAATTGTTTCAATCTTTGTTACATTTGCAAAATCTACCGAAGTAACTAATTGAATTTCATATGAAATACGCTCAGAATTTTTCAAGATAATTCAAGATTTCCAGAAAATATATTAATTGTACTGGAAAATAATTAGTTCACGTGTGTGGAAGAGATAATTGATTCCGATGAATTGTCGCCAGTTTTAGAAGCTCCGATCGGTTCGAATTGCGGAGCACTTATCATCTCGGAATGGTGATATATTTGAAAATGGAAGAGAATGGATTTCGCTTTGCGCCCGAATTGCGGAGTAACTAACATTATTAATCACGCATCCTCTTTAATAACGCGATCCATTCGTTAACGATAAAAACTGAATTCATTTGTTCAAACGGTCTCAAGATTTATGTCTCACGTCTCAGAACAAGGCTTGCAAAAGATTTCAGGCTGAGAAGTTGTGGCGAGGACTCAAAGGATCCTGCGGAGGATGTGGTAGGATTGAATTAGATCTTTCAGAGACTGAGACGTTTATTCAGATATTCTTTACAGATCACAAATAAATAAAAACATGAGGCAAATACGGAAATGAAACAATTATGGCACTATTGATGTGAGGAATTAAATTTAAAATCGCAATGCATTTGCCAAAACAGAAATGGACGAATGTATGCAATTTTTTTTCAAATACGATAAAATATTTCGTATTTAAAAACTCTCGCAATATAAAAATGATTAAACTTTGAATCAGAACATATTCCGACAGATAACGAATAGAAATAAAATAAATTCAACCTGATACATTATAAATCCCATCGGCAATGAAAATTGTAAGGAAAGCTGGATCGAGCCTTGAAAAGGAAATTCGGCGCATGGTTTAAATAAAATATGCACGAATAGGCTTTCAAGAAACAAAGGAACATTCGTAGTAACGTCGAACTCCAAACGCGGGGAATCAATAAAGCCTGCCAGGGTACCTGTGATCACTGAAACCTATTGGAAGACAAAAATCCGGTGGTAAAATTGTTCCGCAGAAATGGAACAAAATGGGAAAGGAGACACGTACAGAAATGAAATGGAATGGGAGTTTAGAACACCTTTTAAAATAATAACCAGAGGTTTGCAGAGACAACAGGTTGGCTGTACGAGTTGCTGGCGCGTGAGAAAAGATCCTATATCCAATATGAAACGAAGCAGGTAAGATGAAAAATATAATAGATAATATTTAAGGGAATAAAAGCTTGACAGATAATTTCGAAAACGAATTTTTATTCATTTTGAGGCTTCCTCGTTCGTACAATCAGTTTTATCCTTATTCTTCTATGATTTCTTAATAAATGAACGATATTACTGTCGTACATATTCGAGGACAATTAAATTCCTGAAGATACTTAAACAGCTATTTGAGAAGCAGATAAGAACAGAATCTCTCTTCTTCTACTTTCAGACAATTTGGGACTGTAATCGTAGTATCTGACTAAAATTCTGCGAATTTCGTCTCGTAGGAGCTTAGAGAGGAAAGCGGGTGTACTGGGATAGACGTTTGAGTCGCGATCGCGAGGCTGGAGGACCAGCGTCGGCAGAGTCAACGCCGAAGAGCCCCTGACGATGAGGCCAGAGAGAGACGGTGGCGGTAAACGGGAAGAAGAGGTGAAACGAAGGGGGGGGAGTGAGGAGAGGGAGAGGGAGTAGGTAAGTACGAATCGATTAGGTCTGTCGGCCATTTTGTTGGCGGCTCGAGCCGGCCAAGTGTTGCCGTGGCACAGCTGCCCCCGGAGGCGTGGAACCTCGCAAACGCGACTCCATCGAGAGAGCGAATGGTTCGACGTCGGCGTGGAATCGCGGCGCGTGTTCTCGCAACCGGATAGGACGCATCGGAGGCGGATTCGGTAGATGGTAGAGGCATGGTAGGGTCGGGAAAGGTCGATCTAAACTTGGTGGGGGCGTCCGACGGTTAGGTTGGGTTCTATAGGAGCCTAACCGGCAGTCAGTGCCTCCCAGGGCCCCGCGCCGTCAGTTCCGTTGGTGTTGTGTCGTGTAACGTGTCCTCTCCTCTCTCTCTCTCTCTTTTTTCTCTGTTCTCCTTCGGTCCGCGTTCCTCCGAGCCCTCTCCCTCTCACCTCTAGCAACCCCTTCGTCCCGTGCAGTACGCGTACGTTATTTTTTTTTCTCCCGTCGAAACCGCGAGTGATAATACGAGGAAACAATCGCGCGGGGGACGATACCTCGGTCTTTGATAGATGCTCCGGTTGTAGAGACGATTCGACGTGTCCTGATGGACCGCGTGACCAACCCTTTGGTTCAAGGGAAACGGATAACGTTGAAATCCGGGATCTACAGGATGAAGTTTGACAGGATATAGAAAGTGCATTTGGTCAAATCGCTGAATCCTGAACATTCGTGTTAGTGCTCCAGGAGAAACGGTTATCGAAGTAAGGAGAGAATCGACGACGAGAGTCCCCGTGAAGAGATCGATCGAAAACGTCATTCGTGTTTATAGCAGTGTTTCTCGATCACTTTGGAGCAGAGCGTGTTTAAAAATCGGCGATCAGAAGCCGCGGAGGTCCTCGTTTATCCGGAAGACCACAAAATGGCGCGGATTTCGGCGAGGCTGCACCGAACCTGGGAAACTGTCCTCTGAAACCGGCGGCGAAAGACGCGCGTGTCCGCCGTTGGAATTCCGTAATGAACACGTTTGACGCGGAATTCGTACGACGAACACGGCGGACCGACGTGTAGCGGGAGTCGACCGATTTTTGGACGAGGCATGCTCGATGTTCGCTGCGGGATGGTACCGCGAAAGTTTGCGAAAGGGACACGTGCCGCTCCGAACTGACACCGAGTTCCCGTATAAAAAGGGACCAGAAGCTATCTGACATAACATTGAGGAGAGCCGGGCGAGCGATTAAAGTCAGCGGGCATTCGATCTGGCAACTATTTATATTCTCTGAATTTAGTGTACGTGCCACCCAGGAACTATAAATAGTGTTTTTTTTTTTATATTTTATTTTACGGGCCTAGTTAGCCTTGAACTTTTACCGGGTGAACTGGTCGAAGCGCTTTGGGCCGCGGACGGTGCCCTCAGTGTGTCGAATTTTCTCTGTACAAGGAAAAACTGTAAGTACGGCCGGCGGTCGTACTTGGCACGAAGGCTTCAAGATTGCTCGAAAATCGTCGAGAGAGGTGCGCAGGGCAGGAAGAGCGATGGAAATCGGGGGTGCAGCGATGCAGAGGATGGCCGCTGCCGGAGGGCCCGGACCGCTCAGCCTCCAGGGCCCTCCAAGGTCAGTGAAGATCTCACCCGTTAACCTACAGGACGAGCCCGGTGACCTCACCTCCCAGAGTACGTATTACGATCTTCACCTACTATTTCTTTATTCGCTTAGGTTCCTTTACGGTTCCTTTACTGGAGTAAACAATTAAAAGTTGACAGTCTCCTTTAGTCAATATTCGATCATCATTCGTGCTAACTCGATTTTTTATCAGAATGATGTATCGTTCGACTGAGGCAAAACGCAATAATTCAAATGAACAATTGGAAAAGGCAATTCGTAAAACGTTACAGCTCGTGAGTGCCTTTTCCTAATATGATCGCCAGTTGACAGCACGTTGATAACTTACAAGGAATTTTAATATAGAGGAAGTGTTGTATTTGTAGTGGTTTAAGACCTTATCTTGACCAATATTATAGAGCAACAATTACCGTAATACATTTGCTTTTTCATTTTCATCCTATTTCATTGCTAGAAATATTTATTGTCAATTCTGTAACAATTTAGTGAATGAGAATTTGATCTTCCAAAGTCTTGGCTAATTCATTTCGTCTTTTCGATTATTTATGTCGTTGGAAATGGCAGTAGACAAATACTTATAAAGAGCCTTATTACGGTAATAGTATTGTTGAGCCGGGCAACTCATTTCATATGGATTCCACAATTTTTATCAGTTCAATTATTGCAAACTATTTTCAAATTAACTAGCAGTCGTTTGTATCGAAAGTAAATTACCTTGGAAATTACGTGTAGATTAAACGATGTTACAAGAGGATTTCATCGGTTCGTTTGTATTTTTCATCGGGTGAGACTGTCTAATTCACTAGATAATAATTCTGTGTCATCGCTTCGTTTCCGATATGGAAAAACGGGAAAAATTTCACGAGAAATTGTGAAAAACCGAGCGATACCTTCGTTAAATTGGAACCGAAGCGCACCGCGCAATAGTCGGTCCGTCGGCTAAAATTCGCACTCGACCACGCTCGACCCGCTTCGCCGCAATTAATTATTACGATTAATTATCTCCACGTTCGTTAATAATAGATACGTTTCAATGTATTTCGAAGAAAGAATAATTTGTTTATTTCTACTGATAATGTTTGCGGCTTATCAGTTCGTTGTCAGTGTATTGTTGTTCCCGATACCGTGCTCCGATCTCCTCGCTTCCCGACGAATCCTCAAATACTTCGGATGGACCCCGGCCCTCGGTATTCGACGAAAAAATCGTGAATGTTCCACTTGTCGGTGGTTGGACTTTAAATAGCCGCGTCAGTGGTCGCACTCCGAGGCACTGCTTCGACACTTTCTCAGTACAAAGTCGCTTCTGAACATGGAGATTTTTTTTAATCAAAACAGAAAGAACAGATTGTTAAAAGTCGTCACTAGAAAATTTTATTCCCTTCGTTTGTTACAAATATCGATTAAATTCTGCATAGAGAAATTGTCTTCATCATTATTCAAATACTTGTAAATCATGATATAATAATGTTCGAGTCACGGTGACTATTTTTTCAAGTCATGTATAAAATACTCATCGATAAAAATCGACGAAAAGCCACAGTATCCATCGCGTGGCAGTATCACGGAAAAAATAGAGCAAAACTGATTGGAATCCAAAAATCTGCGTGAATAATAAACGCGCGTTCGTGCAATCCGAGTATTTCATATTTCGGGGTTAATTCGTACGATGGGTAAACGCGTCGGAATATTACATTGTAGAAATTTTGTAACGGATTGGAAAATGATGGGAGATACCGTGGCTTGAAGAAATATTCTTGCCCCGAACGCTTCAAGCGGTTCCGATCGCTAATTTTGGTCACAATGGAACCTCTATTTTGCGTAGGAACGATCTAGTATACTACTGTGTGAACGTTCGTATCCGTCTCGAAGATCGTGCTACTCAACCACGTTTCCTTCTACCGCGTCAATCATTATACCTTGCTATTTCGTTGGGATATTTACGAAATCTGTTTAGATTTTCCCAATCGATTTTATAATAACATATCTACCAAAAAACGATGAACGTGTATATCATAAAATTAGTCAGAAGCTTCGAAAATTGTTGATTGATGTACAAAATAAAAATTCAGAAGATCCTAAAACAAACCAAATCGCTTTTTAATTTTAATTGATCAATCTAAAAATTTTTTAATTAAATCCATAAATTATAAATGAAACCGATATCGTGATGGTGAGAAATGATCTGATACATTTTTAAACGTTTAATTCGGGGGTATGAGGCAGGGATGTGCGCATCCTCGAATCAGATAATCCGGGAACACGTTCTCTCCGGTAGTCAGGATAATGTTAAGTAGTACAGCAGAACGATAACGCGTAGGTAGGTAGCCTCGACGATAGATCTTGTTACGTCGGCTCGTTTCGCACGTATTTTCCATGTTTCACCAACGATTATGGATCCTGCGCGTTGATTGTAATTACAAACTGGAACCGTTAACATCTAGCCGTCCACCTCGCGTTATTATGCCAGTGGATCTTCCGTGAACGAAGCAAAACGCGTGGTTAATCTGTGATCTGCACCGTTTATGCATCGCTTATTAAAAATTCTGCAACGATTTCAATCCATCCTGGTTACAAACTGGCCTCGTTGTTCTAAATGGAAAAGCTGTTTGCGAATACGTTTGAATAAATAATGTATTGCAGATTTTTGGACAGCCTTCGGACAGTTTGTTTTCCACACGTTTAACTATCTACCTAGTTTTGGAATAATGATAATAAACGTCAGATAATGTCAGACTGTTGCGAGACTCGGCGATGAACGTTGCTCGAAGAATATTATACAACTTTATATTGCAAAGACACTTATCATAAATTGTGAATAAATTAGAAATTCTGCTTTGAATTTGCTTCTGATTTCCCGATGAAAATGGTGTTGGAATCAAAGTTGAAATAAGCTTCGCTTTGAGGGGTTTCGTAACGGCACCCTTATCCACTTGCGTGCTCAATTATTTCGGTTGGACCCGCGAGCGAGACAAAGGCGAGAGGAGTAGATCGGGTGCGGATCGCTTGATTTCGAATAACTATTTAGAGCAGCCCCGAAGACCGCGGTCTTAGTTCGGATTCCTCGAATTCACTTCATTTGTTTCTACTTAACCGTCGAATAGCCAGTCCCGGACGAATCGGTCCAACCGAGTGCAATCAGAAATAAACTGAACCGAATTTCGGAGCCTTGTCACCTCCGCTCGGTTCCGATACCTACCGACGAGATCTCACGAGATGCTGGAATAAACCGTCGAATCTATTTACGCGATTGTCACCCGCTGTAAATCTATCAAAGTCATCTCGAATTCTATTTTATCCTCCGGTTATTAGCATTCTATTTTCTGAAATCGCGAGTTTCGGATGCTCGGCTTGGAATTTTGAAAATAACAATTTGGCTCAAATGTAAATACTCTTACTTTCAATTTTTATCTAGAATTACAAATCGAAATGTGTGACAAACGTAAAACACGACTTGGACTGTGTAGAGAGCCAAGGGTGAACCCGCAGTGAAACCGGAGAAAAATGTATGCTTCCATTCAGCTCCTCAAGTTCGTTCTGTAAAAAACTGACAAATAACGTTCGAGCGCGAACGAACATTAAGACGGAAACAAATTTGCACGCCGCGTTGCAAACAGACGAATTCGTAGAACAAATAAAAAAAACCTGTGAACTTCCACTGGCAAACATTAACGCGTATCAATTAAGAGGAACCAAATTAATGTCGAGGACGTTGAATAATTAATGCAGCGTTCATTTCTCTCCCGCTGAACGATCGACTTGGAAATTCGTACGCTCGAAAATCGTTCAGAACCGTCGAGTGTCTTATCCAACAAGAAATTCTTACCAGCCGCGGTAGAATGCAGCCACCGTCGGTTTTAATTAACGGCTAATACATTTGCATGATTAGACTCTGAATGCGCGGTATACTGGCACATTCCGTGGATCGAAAACGAACAGGACGTTAATAGTACTCTCTCTTTCTCTTCGCCGTTCACCAACGCGTGCATTTGCCTGGCTCCGATTTTAAATATCTAAACGTCTACCCTGTCGCATTAAACGCAAGCAGATTAAAAGAATGAACTAGACATTTTTCTCATGCACTGGTATATAATTTTCGAGCCCGGCCCGAAAGAGTTCGACACGTCCATAGATGTGGGCTAGGTGTTCGAGCAATGCGCTATTCTAGAATGACGGCTGGCTATTGTATCGTGTGTTATCTCGCGTGAATAATGCATAGATATATTACGATTTAATATCAATAGTCCACGGTTGCATATACATATGTATGTATGTATACCGCCCGCTAATTCGTTATTACGTAGCGTCTAGCATGTATAAATAGTGCGCTATTTCGCTTTCAGTATGAGCATTATGTCGTATTACGTATTCCGGTATTTTATATGTACAATTGCCACATGTATCTTGATATAAATATCGTGGTATCGGGTCCCCGTTTAGCGATGTCCTACGATCGTTATTAGCTATACTGTACGTAATTTGTAACATGAATAATAGTGTATCGTGCCGCGTGTAAAGAATATACTATCAGTTGGCATCTAGCTTGAATGATATACGTACTATTTTAGATACAGCAACAGCTTGTATACATATGTTATGATCATTGTACGTATCCTCTTAGCAATTCTGTTTTCATAATTAATATTGCTCCTAGCGTTCGTTTCGAGCAGAAACATTTTAGAAATAGATATATTTCCATTACCATGTATAATAATATTACAAAATTCTGCATAATTAATTTATTTGTAAGTTTAAAACGAGACTCGAATAAGTACTTTCACGTTTAGAATTTTGTTTATTCCGGTTCTCAGCTGGTTTTAAATATTTCTTTTGCATAGACCATAGTAAAATGCGTTTTTCATGCTGAAAAATGATGTTATATAAGAAAAACGAGGTTAAACAGTTCTAGATTTGTAGTTCATGTGCCACACGTGTTTCCTGAAGTTCAAGTTTGCATAACTAACTACGATTAAGATAATTTTCCCTAAGTCATTACAATTACATAGAACTTTGAGACTTTAGCAAAATGAAACGAATATTGCGTCGCGTAGAA